AGAAAAATGATGAGCTTATCTCTTTGTCTATGCACAGCAACAACGCTGCTGAAACAATAAATCAACTTGAGTTTTACCTAGGATCTATCAGTGCAAAAAATGACGATGTATTAGGTCTAGCTAAAAATTACTTTCAAATTAAACATCAAGAGGACCAGGTAGCAACTGCACGAACCCCAACGCCAAGCGAATCCGTCCGTTCCAAGAAACCCCTTTCACAGCGTTCTAAGATTGCATCAATGACTTCGAGTGAGCGTCGAAGAGAGGCAGCCCTTGCAAAAATTAGACGCGAGGAATTGAACGCCAAGTAGAGGCTAAGCTTCGTTTGAAAAAGCAAGAGATCCAGATTCAGTCGATGAAGGGTCAACTTGATCTTGATGTGGTTGTAGAGAGAAGACGTCAAACGCTAGCTGAAGCAACTATCGAAGAGGCTGAATATCTGGAAGACGCCACTGAAATTTGTGAACTTCGTCGTAGCAGATCGAAATTGGCAATGGCCGTTCAGGAGAACGAAACGGAGGAAAACAGGACAAGAAGTTGGGTGAACACATTCATTTCCCAACTCAGGAGATAGTTCAGCCCATGGCGCCAGTCCAAAGTGTCAATCTGGAATCAGCTTCCGAGTTCTTGTCATTTTCAAGTATTGAACCGCCTTTTAGTAGAAATCTGACGATGATTAATAAATCACATCCATTTGCTGATTATTTCGAAACCACGTGTATAAACTCACAGAGTGTTAACGTCCCTCATACATCGAATACAAGTGTCAGCATGCCAAATTCAAATGTAAACAGTACGTATGAGCCACAGGAACAGCTACCTTTGACCAACCTACACAACTACAACCCTTTGATGCAGAGTCATTTTCATCATTCTAATATCCCAACGAGCTCAATGCCCATTGCTCAACAAACCTTTTCCCCAAGTAATTCCGCAGATTTTGTATTCCAACCGCTTTTACCAACTAACGTTGGTCCTCTCAAGCCTCCAACATTCACCTTCTCCCCTAACTCATATTATGTCACACAGCCATCGAATGTTCAACCGTTCTCTAGCGGAGGAACAACTTTTTATGTCGGTGATCCTAAAGCTTTAGACGCCGCAATCTATTCAAAACCGCTGATGGCGCCTTATACAAATATGGCCCAAACAATATCGCCCACTTACGTCCTCGGGCAGTAAACCAATAACAAATCAAGATCTAGCTGAAATCTTGACACTGAGCCAGAAAGGTCCCTTGCCTGAAAGGAAATTGTCTTCTTTCCACTGAAATCCATTGCAGTGGCCTGAATGGTTTGGTCAGTTCAAAAGTGCAATCGATGTAAAACTTTTAAGTAATGATGTCAAACTGACATATCTCAAACCTCTCATTTCAGGCAATGCGAAGAATGCAATTGCCGAATTCGCTTACAGTGGAGTATTCTACAAGGACGCTTTTTAAAACTCTAGAGAGGAAATTTGGACAACCACAGACAATTGTGGGAGCTCATCTCGATAAACTTTCGAATTTTCCACCTCTCAAAATGCACAATTCAGAAAGCATTATCAGTTTCGCTTCCTGTATATCCAGTCTTGTCGCTGTTTTAAAATCGTTAGGATATGAGTACGACTTAAAGAGTACATCCGTTTTGAATCAAGTTATTTCAAAAATGCCTCGATTTATGAAAGAGTCATGGTCTCTCCATTCTGTAAAGAAATAATGGAGACCGCCAACCGTTTTAGACTTAAATGATTGGCTCCGCGACAAGGCTGAGGCACATGAACTTATGCGTGTGAGTCAGAATAAGTCACGACCTGAGGAGACTCCAAAGACTGGTTTCCATAAACCACCTACAAAAGTTTTTGCCGTTGCTTCAAAAGTTGAAAAACCATTTTATGCTCCGTGCCTCCAGTGCAAGGGTAAACACTCACTCTGGAGTTGTTCTGTAATTAAGGAAAAGACCCCAATTCAACGAGCTCAATTCTCTGCACAAAATAGGTTGTGTTTTGCTTGCTTTCAACCTGACCACATGTTCCGAAAATGCCCTAAAACCCGCAAATGCACTAAGCCTGGTTGTGAAAGCACCCATAATGTCTTGCTACATAGTGCTGAGAAGGTTTTCAACGTAAGGTCTGCAAACAGCAGACAAACTGATGAACGGGATATGATAAACGGGAGCCGACACTTTTTAAAGATGAGTTTAGATGTACAAAAGCTCTGTTTGTGTAGCAAGACATATTGCTGCTATGACAACAAGTCCGATAAGTTCAAGTTTAGCAGCAAAGGATTGAATAAAGGGGTCTGGAAGATTCTGGAGACTGTCCGATGTCAAAATACAGAAGAGTGCTCGATGAAGCGATCAAATTAACATCTATAAATAGAGAATTCAGAACCGTAAACCACATGGTGGCCACATATGAGCAAACAAAAAAAGGACTTAGTTATTTTCATCCAAAAAAACAAGTTCAAGATGATGGATTCCATACAAAACCATTGAATTTATACGGAATTATTGGAGATGGAAGCAGTGTGTTATATTTTTGTACAATGCAGTATTTTAATGGTGTTTCATTATAAAGTTGCGGTAAATTTCACACACAATGCAGTGATTTATATATTTTCTTTGTAATTTAGTTTTTTATCTCAAATATTGGAATTTTTTCGAAATTTCGGTAGGTTTCAGAATAGATTCAGATAGATAGAAAAAAAAATTTTCTAATAAATTTTTATTAGATCAATTTATAACAAATCTTATCGTGTTTTAGAAATTTTCGAAAAAATTTTCAAATATTATTTTTTTTTGAAGAAACTTTCAAGTTTTTACACAAAAACTCTTACCATTGACTTACCATGTATCAAAAATCTAATTTAAAACCTTCATTACACAATCCACACGTATTAACCAGTAATCTTTACTAATTAGAATACGCGCGCCAAATTTTTTTCAAAAAAATAGACATTTCCACATAAAAACCAAAAGTTTTCGTTTTTCTTACCATTATCTTACCATCACACAAACCATGAAACCTTACCATTGGTATTATCTATTTAAATACATTTTAAACTTTTTACCCTACCTTAATACATAGCTGGGTGACCGGATGATCTATTCCCTATCTTAAAACATGGGGGTCACCCAACTCCCCCCTGACCACCTCCAACATCTACTACTGTAGCTTTACTTTCAATTAAATTTTCAAATCAATCTGAAAGCAGAATCCATTCTTAGACCAAGATGCTTCTCACTCATGCCTAGCCTAAACCTCCCCCTTACTATGTTTAAAACACTATTCTAACAGTTTCTCGATAGAATAATTCAATTAGGCATTTAAAAGCATGCAGACTTATTTCATGTTTTAGCACCTTAAATTTTTAGAATTTAATTGTCATGGCAATTATATTAAAATCCAACTACCTGACTTGTGCCCCCTTTACCTAGCTCAAGAACCCTGCGACTCCTAACTCAAGACTCAAGACATTCATGTCCACTCAAAGCTCAGGCGATGCTCAAGTATTACTTCTTGTGTAGGTGCACCATTATCCCCGTTTCTGCGAAGAGCACGTGCAGGAATGGCGTGTAATTCAACTTACCAACCTAGGGTTCAACTTGCCCCTGTTTGGATAGTAGACCGGTATTGAGACCTCTCGTATCCCTCTTTCGAGCATGAAGTCTCTCAACCTCGTTAGTGCCAACATCACATGCTCGGGGTCTATCGTGTTCCTTTCATTGACCCTCGTCACCAAAAAGCACAGGTATTTATCAGGAACTTCTGAAACTGATGGGGGAAGCGGAGCCATTCCTCCCAGTTCTGATATTTTTTTGAAGTCTGTTTCCAGTCTCGTGTTGAAGCTCATGTCCGCTGTTATGCAGATCGCACTAGTCCTATCTGACAAAATGAAGTCGCTGTCTGTGATCAGGATGTTCTCTGAATAAGGATGTTCTCTGATCAGGATGTTCTCATTCGGTATCTCGAGTTTTCTCTTGAAGTTTCTTCCTAAGGTAGGCTCAGCTTCCTCCTGATCCAGTTCCAATCCGCTAGTCTCTCCCACTTCCCTGAGCTTCTTTATCATAAAATTTTTGGTGTGGGTAAGTCCTACACCCACTCCCCGGACAAAAATATTTATCGACGTCCCCGTCGATGGTGCTAGGTTCAAGTTATCCGGTGGTATGTCCAGTGGCCGGTCAGTGGCTGTTCAACCAAATAGCGGATTTCCTGCTTTGACATGTAGGCGTTTATTTAAAGCAAAAGTAATTCTTTCACTTTTATGCGCTAAGAGTTATTGCTGTTTAAATTTCGGTGATGTCAAAAAGTTAAGCCTAATCGAGCGTGGTGCAAAAATTTTCAATGGGTCAAATTTTGGCCAAAACAATAGAAAACCGAAAAAATACTTTTGCAGTATCAATTTTGTGTACAATCAGCTACTGATAGGCCAAAAATACTGGAGATAACTTTTGGGGTCTTTGAGTTATAGCCTTTTGAATTTCGGTTATGTCAAAAAAGCCCAATCGAGCCTGGTGAATTGCGCGAACGGCCATAACTTGCCCAAAAATTTTAAATTTTCCATTTTTTATTTGGATCATAAGATCATAGTCAACTCTTGGGGGACTGAGAAATTGAATTGATTTTGTCGGTCCAACACAAAGTTATAAGCTTTCGAAATCTCGGTGATGCCAAAAAGTTAAGCCTAATCGAGAGTGGTGCAAAAAATGAAAATTTCAAAATTTTTGTTTTTTTTTTACGTTCAAAGTTCATTTTTTAAAATCTCGTTTCATAAATTTGAGCTAAGGACAATTCCAACGAGCCCAAAACGACGTTTGTAGCTCAAGTGTACGTGGAGTAATTATCAGTTGAAAATTTGGGGGGACCCGAATTTCGGCCATACTGGACGAAAATCGGCCTAAAAGCTAACTTTAATGTTAGTGCATTTTTTTTCTTGCTATTTTCAAGAGAATTGGGCTGCCCTCCGCGGTCGCAGAGTGCATTCAAACAAAACTTATCAAATCGATTTGAATACTTACCTATTTAATAGGTTTATCACAACAATTAGGCTAAAAGCATTTGCAGAATCCTGGCTGGTATTCAATCATATGCCACTTACAGTGAACGTGCGGCTATCATGCCATAGATGGTCATTCAAGGCACCTTGTACACGCTCCATAGGTTTTGACCAGCTGATTTGGCCATAAAACACATTGGGTCAAAAAAATTCCAAACAATGTCAATTTCAAAATTTTGTTTCAAATGCATAAATTATAACGTGAGCGTGCAAATTTTACATGGTATAAGAGCATATTTTTACTCTCGCGCGAGGGCGAGTGTTTTAAAAGTAATGTACATAGACATTTGCTAGTAAGGATATAAATGAAAGCGGAGTAACTCAAATGCCTACGACCATACCATGTTGAATGCACCGGTTCTCGTCCGATCACCGAAGTTAAGCAACATTGGGCCTGGTTAGTACTTGGATGGGAGACCGCCTGGGAACACCAGGTGTTGTAGGCTTTTATATAAAGCAAAAGTAATTCTTTTACTTTTATGCGCTAAGAGTTATTGCTGTTTAAAGTTCGGTGATGTCAAAAAGTTAAGCCTAATCGAGCGTGGTGCAAAAATTTTCAATGGGTCAAATTTTGACCAAAACAATAGTAAACCGAAAAATTACTTTTGCAGTATCAATTTTGTGTTCAATCAGCTGCTGATAGGTCAAAAATAATGGAGATAACTTTTGGGGTCTTTGAGTTATAGCCTTTTGAACTTCGGTGATGTCAAAAAGAAAGCCCAATCGAGCCTGGTGAATTGCGCGAACGGCCATAACTTGCCCAAAAATTTTAAAACTTCCAAATTTTATTATTTGGATCATAAGATCATAGTCAATTCTTAGGGGCCTGAGAAAATGAACCGATTTCGTCGGTCCAACACAAAGTTATAAGCTTTCGAAATCTCGGTGATGCCAAAAAGTTAAGCCTAATCGAGTGTGGTGCAAAAAAAAAAAATTTTCAAAATTTTGTTTTTTTTTCTACGTCCAAAGTTCATTCTTTGCATCTCGTTTCATAAATTTAAGCTCAGGACAATTCCAACGAGCCCAAACTGACGTTTGTAGCTCAAGTGTACGTGGAGTAATCATCAGTTGAAAATTTGGGGGGACCCGAATTTCGGCCATTTTGGACGAAAATCGGCCTAAAAGCTAACTTTTAAGTTAGTGCACTTTTTTTCTTGCCTTTTTCAAGAGAATTGGGCTGCCCTCAGCTGTCGCAGAGTGCATTCAAAGAAATCTTATCAAATAGATTTGAATACTTACCTATTTAATAAGTTTATCAGAACAAATAAGCTAACAGCAACTGACAGTATCCTGGCTGGTATTCAATCATATGCCCCTTACAGTGAATGTGCGGCTATCACGACATAGATGGTCACTCAAGGCACCTTGTACACGCTCCATAGGTTTTGACCAGCCGATTTGGCCATAAAACACATTGGGCCAAAAAAATTCCAAATAATGTCAATTTTCAAAATTTTGTTTGAAATGCATAAATTATAACAAGAGCGTGCAAATTTTTACATGGTATAAGAGCATGTTTTTACTCTCGCGCGAGGGCGAGTGTTTTAAAATTAATGTACATAGACATTTGCTAGTAAGGATATAAATGAAAGCGGAGTAACTCAAATGCCTACGACTATACCATGTTCAATGCACCGGTTCTCGTCCGATCACCGAAGTTAAGCAACATTGGGCCTGGTTAGTACTTGGATGGGAGTCTAACTTTTGGGGTCTTTGAGTTATAGCCTTTTGAATTTCGGTGATGTCAAAAAAGAAAGCCCAATCGAGCCTGGTGAATTGCGCGAACGGCCATAACTTGCCCAAAAATTTTAAAATTTCCAAACTTTATTATTTGGATCATAAGCTCATAGTCAAATCTTGGGGGACTGAGAAAATGAACCGATTTCGTTGGTCCAACACAAAGTTATAAGCTTTCGAAATCTCGGTGATGCCAAAAAGTTAAGCCTAATCGAGCGTGGTGAGTAGTATAGCTAATTTACACTGGGATCGGGGGGGTGATCCCTACAGGGATCATTGGGTATTGAGATCCCAACGTAAATTTTTGAGATCCCAAAGTACTGATCCCATGTAAAATTTTTCATGATCCTAAATAATGATCCCACAATTTTGATCCCAATGTATAATTTTTTAAACCAATGATCTTGAATGTAAATTTTTGTTAGGTTGATAGCTAAATCGTCCAAATGCCCAGACGGTGTATTTCGTTCTTTTTGTTCATTCACCAAATTGGAGTGGTATATAAAGTGGTTAAAGCGATTAGTTTCAAGCATGGTATATGAAAGACGCTTGATTTCTGCACCGAATATGTTTGAAATATATGTATAGAATCAGCTTGAAATTTATTCGAATAATTTGAAGTGCTATGTTTAAGTATTCTATTTAGCAAACTAAAAGGTTTTGATAAATCCAAACTGGGCTAAATGGTTTTTGAGCCTACATTGTAATTCAGAAAATTGTTAAATAATAAGAAAGCATATGAGTTAGGAAACGTTTCAAAATAGAATCATTATTGTAAAGGAAATGAGAAGCTTAATTTTATTGACAAGTTGATTGAAATGTATACGAAAACAGTCATGTAGAACTAAACAATATCTTAATGAAAAAGCATATGGGTTGGGAAACATTCGAGTATTGTGCATGTTTGATCCGTTTTTGTTTAGAAATATTGTCTAAACTTGTACCTAATTGTTACTATAAAATTGAAGTGGAACAAAATTTCTTGGGGTCCGAGTAGAGGAAAACGCATGGCGCTCGACTCTCAGCCGAAAAGCGGCGTTTCGAAACCCGTCCGGAAACTGTACTGAAAGGAGGCAACAGTTGCTGGTATGGTGATATCCCCCCATAGATCGATTTTGTATTTTTTATTATAAACTCTAACTTCTCGGATTATTGCTGTTAATTTAACAATTGAGTAAAAATGTCAATTACTAAAAAATGTAATATTTAAAATGAAATTGAAAAGTGTACAAAACAGCCATATAAAATAGTTAGTTAATGAGAAAGCATGTGAGTTAGAAAACGTTTCAAAACATGATCATTTATGTAAGCAAAATCAGAAGCATCACCATTAAAATTTTTATCGTAAATCAAATGTGCAATATAAATGCAAAAAGAACCACACATGGTAGAGTTTGAGTCTTGCATGGGAAAGTTTGTCATCAATTCAGTCACCTGATGAAAATTCTCGTTCAATCGTTTATACAGATTGTTGTACTGCCAAAGAGGAAGACCGAGAGGATCAGCAAAATATAAAACATTTCTTCTGTTGCAAATTACAATCCAATGTGTCCCCGGAGAATCTGATTTTGAAGTGTTCACAATTATAAAGATATTGTTTGGGATGTGAGGTGGAAAATTGTCGGCTGCAAATACTCCAAAAAATTTATGTTTCAAATGTTTACAATTCTGAATGAGATCCTGCAACTGGATTTCATCCATTTTTAGACGGTCGAAATTGGAAGGACGTTCTTTGTAACTTTGCGGTCGGAGGTAATAAATACATTGGATGAGCGTATACCCCAAAGAAAAATTTCTAGGTTTGCTGTCAAAGCGTTTGAGAATTGAAGATCGAGTGAAACTGAGCAGTTAGTAAGTTCTGGATGCAAGAAGTCATGAGCTGCCTGCTGTGTGCCAGTGAGATCAAAACACATAATAAAGTGCTGTTGGTAGTTATCCAGAGTGATTCCCAACCCGCAGTGCAACAAACCTAGCGCTGATAGTGTGTTGAAGAAGAGACGTTTATGATCTTGTGTACTGATTGGTGTACTTGCTATTGGTAAACCATTTCGTCTCAAAGTAACTTGCTCCAATCCAAACTTTTGATAATGAAAAGGATTCGTTCGGTTTGTTCCTAGAAATGCATTATTTGTGTTCAATGCTATGATAATTTGTCTCACCGGTTCACGAGCAAAATATCTTCCTGTTGCCAGCTGCGCTGACCAGCTGTTGCAAGAAATGTTTTTGTAATTTCTTCTTGATATGGGTAGTTCGCAGGAGTTTTGAGCAAAGTTGATTCAATAGCAGAGAGCACATGGTCGGTTACAGTCATTTTTCTAACATATAGGTTCGCTTCGAGTATTTGCAGCTTGTAATGCTTGGCAGCATCTTCCGATATGATGAGAAAGTCTTCATGAGAACGTCTGTAGGAAAGTCTGAGGGTAACACCGCTCAACAAATGCTTGTCACATGTAAAAAAATCAACTCCAGCGGGTCCATAGAACCAAATTTCCCTCGATTCACGGACCAGTTCTCGTTGAGATGTTCAATCGCGCACAGAGAGTAACCAGAGGGTTCATGTTTTTCTAAGATCCTAGACGACGAAGTGTTTGGGTTGTTATTGCATGTGGTAACAGGTTTCAAAAACGATTCGAAATCGAAGTAGATAACGACAGGAACAAAACTAAGTGCTGCATAGTTGTTGAATTTGTATTTATTGCTTCCATCTTCAGCGGATGGCATTTTTTTTACTGCAGGTTCATGTTCTTTGCATGATCTTTGATGCATCTTGTTCGCTTCTTCGCTATAACTTATGTGAAAACAGTTCCGACACAGGCGCATGAATGTCCGAAATTTATAATTTTTGATTTCACATATGAATCTTAACAGGTTAGTTATTACCACGAAATGATGTTTACAGGGCTCAAATAACAACAAAAGATCCATACTGAATGTATCTTCAGACTCATTTTTTGATATCAACATAGGCACCAAGTCTCCTTTTTCATAAAGAAACACATTGACACGAACTTTGTTCAAACGTTCAAACTCGGGTATATCTCCGAAACTCATTGGCGTTGGAAACTCACCGATTGGTTTTTTGGCGTTGCTCGTTCTGTAAGTTGCAGGGCATGTTTTTTCAGCAGTTGGATCTTCGTATCTTCCAACAATTAAATTCAAACGATAATGAAGGTGATAAGCAGCAGTAAAACAAAGATTAGAACAGTCATGGTCATCATGGTTGCGAATATTAATTAAATGACTGGATTTTGCAAT